GTGGAGGGAAGTGTCTGCTTAAATTGTTTGCATAAACAAGCCCCTTAGATATACTGTGTGAAAATGCATGCACTTATTGTAATTAGGATAGGGCATGACATTCTGTCTCAGCAATTGAAGTGTAAACTCTGTAATCCATTGATCGTGAACTTTTCAATTCCTCTGGGTTAATTCCACCTAAGTCATCTATAGACTGGTAGTGACTTTTACTCCAGTCAGTTTTGATACGAACCTCATCACAATCAGCTAGTAAGTAGTTATTTCTCAACGCACGCAGAACTACTCGAAGCATGTTTTATCTACGCTATCCTGCTGGGACTAAACGGACCTAGCCACTACGTCGAGCCTCTTTGTTGAAGCAGTCATGACAGTTGAACATGGCAATAAAAGTACAGGAGTATTTTAGTTCAGAGACTCATCAGATTGTGGACCTCTCTTCATCGCCCCTCTTGCGTCGTTGTGACTCTCTGTGATCGAATACTCCTCTTTTGCGCCGACATTACACTCAGCCATCGTTTTTGCCTTCCCACTCCGAATTCTCGCCTGTAAGGTTTTTTTGTTTTATACAGGGCAGTCTGTGACTAGTTTTCTTGTTTCGCTAGGCTGGGTAGTCTATACAGTATCACGAAGCCGCGCTAAAATATTCTGTGACTATTTAGATTACTAAAAGTTATTTAATCAACAGTCACCAAAGCGTTTGATCCGAATTCATGAGTAGGACAATCTCGGTTCCAAAAAAGAAGCAGAATATCAGAAGGCCTCTCGATTGAATAAGATTTGTGATTTAAATCATTATAAAATTTCGAGCAGCCTACAACCAGAAGGTAGCACCTCTTAAAACTCCTGTAAGGGAGCCCAGAAGGGAAACTCCTGGTACTAAAATAAACTTTATAGTAATTCAAAATTAGTGGAGCAAGAGAGTTTGAATGCAAACATTATTTTTATAATAATGAGTTATTTCCTTAGCAATCATAATCTGATAAAAATACAAAATTAAAAACTTGAAATCCACACCGGAATCCTAAGTTGTATTCGATCTCTTTGTCGCCGATTCGGAGTATAGTGGCCCCGCCCACCTTGATGAATGATCTGTTGAGAATTGGATCGAGGCTGGGATCTAGACGCTCTTGAACGTTCTGCAACAGTACCGGATGTCCATAAGTGATGGCCATCTCTAGAAAACGCATATAGTCTGGCATCTGTAAGTCTATGACTCGCAGATCATGACTCTCCATTGACTTTATCCATTTCTGAGCCTGGCATTGTGGATCTATCATCAAAGGCCACCGGG